AAATAAACGTTTTAAAGTTTCCTTGTTTTTTTTTTTAATATATTTGTCGGGTGGTATTAACAAGTTTTGAACGTCATTTTAAGCAATGTGTGGCATTGTGTAAGCAGTCGATGATTGTGCTGCCCAGTTCTGCAAAAGATGAAATAAAAAAACATTAGTAAAGTATGAAACAGCTCGTTTCGTTGAAAATAGCGAAAAGAACTACTGTGGAAGCGGGATGGCAAATGAGTCAGTGAAACTTGTATGGCATCAACGTTTGTGATCAGTTGAAAGATGGTGTAAGTTCGGTTCATCAGGTGTTTGCCTATCCCTCCAGGTTTTTGTTTTATTGCATATACGACGTACCTTAAGTTCTGCTGTTGTAAATGTTTTACGCAGTACAAACGAATGTTGAAAGAAGTTGGCTTATTCGAAGAGAGCGAAGCCCATATCGTCATCTTCAGACTCAGAGTCTTCCTTCTTCTCTTCTTTTTTGGCTTCCTTCTTATCACCACCAGCAGCAGCCGTTGGAGCACCGGCTGCGGGTGCAGCAGCAGCACAACTACCACCAACGGGCATCGATGATAGCTTCTCACGACCCTCCTTGATCAGATCGTCTATGCTCTTGCCCTTCAACTCCTTGATGACACGGGTCAGACGCTCGGCATCGGCCTCAATACCCACAGAGCTGAGAATTTTCTCCAGATCAGCATTGGCGGGGTTATCTTGACCACCGAGAACGGCCAACAGGTATGCAGCCACGTAACGCATTCTATGAAAGTAGAAACATGTTATAATACGAATATTAATCTTCTTGTATATATGACATCGCTTGCGCTTTTCATTTATTTATCTTATTTAACAATTTGCATAAAGCATCACTATAGTTTGCAAGACCTCTTACTTTAAGTCTATAGTTTTTGACACGAAACGTGAAATGCACAGAAAAACACAACTTTCGCCCAAGAGACCTTTAAACGAAAAGAACTCGACACCGTTTTGACACAAGAAAGTCACTTCCGTTTGTCAAAACTGACAGCTGACAACGAATGCAACCATGTTGCTCGAAGTAGGTGGCGCTTTAGTTTCAGAGTTGCATATAAATATTCGTCGTATGTTAGTGGCTAATTATCACGACTGAGTGATAGTGGGCTTAGCAATTCGGCCTGTTAAGTTAGTGGGGTGACATCACTCATCACTGTATTTCATGTAAATTTGTAAGAAAATTAAGCAATTTCGACAATATTATGTATCTTAATAAAATAATTAAGTAAAAAAGAAGTAAGAAAGCTCTAGTCGAGACTGATCGAATACGAGATCCCCTGAACCCTTCGAGGAACTTGTATTTCAATAATTCTTCGCGTCTTTCTGCTCACACAAGAAATACATATTCAGAAAACTATAAGCTTGCACGCATAAACACGCATGGGCTGCACTGTGGGAACTTAATTGTTTAATCGATTTTCTTGTGTATGGGCTATCGTCATAAATATTTTAGATTGTGATTGTATCATTAAAATGCCTGCATTTTTCAAAGCATGAGTCTCTACTATTTGAAATACGCCTTTTACAAATATAATGGTGATGGTGGATGTAGGAATGTAAACTATTACAAAAATCGAAATTTTATAAAATACATATGAATCTACATATAAAATTTGAAGACTTTAGTTCTAAAGGTGTAGGAGATATAATTAAATAACTTATTTTCGATAAGGTTTTTAATCGATAACAAAATTACAGGATGAGTTACCGCTAAATCGGCTCAATCGACTCAGCTCGTCCCCCTATTCATGAATATACATATATATTTTGTGGCGTTTGCCACGCAGTGCTGTCATAATTTTTCGAGCAAATAGAGCCAGATTGGCAAAAAAAAGAAGCTAAAAGAAGCTAAATTCAAGAAAAAATAAGCCAAAATAAAAGCTGGGTTTAAAAAACACTATTTTCTTAATTAAATTCATTTATGATTATTCATTTGTTTTAAATTGTTTGATTCCTTCAACTATAGACAAGGAATCTCCACTTTC